CATCTTTTAACACCAGGAATAAGTCACTGAGAAAGATAAGACTCCGGTTATATTTTTCATAAGGTAGCGATGATGAATCCACATGAACAAGGAGGCACAGCACAAAAGATTGTATGAATAGGCCAAAAACGCAAAGAGCGCCAGCAATGAAGTAACATGAGCATGCTTACTCCAGCCTGATAATCCAGATGATTGGTGTTTGTCAGATTTCCAGCTGTCATAAAACGTACATTAATCACTTTTTCCATTTCCGAAGGAGTATAATAAAAGAACAAAAGTAAAACTCTGAAATACTGCTTCTCAATCGAGAAGCCCAGGTACTGATCAGGTGTAGTGAATAACTGACTTTTCACAATGGAAAAGTCACACTGTCCTATTTTTGTAGAAGAACACAACATAAAGAATTTAAAAGGGTATTTGGAAATAAACTATTGGACTACAGAACTGAAATAACGTTTACTGTTTTGGATGATTCATTGCTTGCTTTTGTTGTTTTGTAAAGGCAGAGTGGGCTGGTACCGTGAATCTTGTCTGCTCTGACAAGGCTCTACCTGTTTTGCATCGTTAGAGGACTATCAGGATTATGAAGTGCATGGAGATAGAACAATAAGCTTACCTATTCCCATTGTAGTTCACTCATGAGACTTGTGAATTTATTCTGCTAACTTCCAAATTTTGGATAAGCAGGAGTATGGATCTATCCTAATCACTTTACCTGTAGTGGAGTAAGAATGATTTTTTTGAGGCCACAACTCCTGAGACTGAGGGTGGTGGCTTCTTTGGTTTATGTGACTATTCTACCCAGCTTATAATTTTCTCAAGTCAGGGTGCACAAATGCGCAAGGTTCTCTGGGCATGGGAAGAACTAGGCAGAGCAGGGAAAGTTTAGAAGGCTGAAAGTCAGCTTGGACTGACTTTTTTTTCTGTCACCAGATAAAAGCTATGAAAGCTGCCTTTAAGAAGAATTCTATGTACTCTGCTGTAAAGCACCTTTGCTTTATAAGCAAAGTTTAGTGACAGCAGGCATGGGAAGTTTAAAATAGAGCCTGATACTTTATGCAGGTAATTCAAAGATCATATAATTGAAATGATTGACTTCAAACAGATTAAGAAGGTACCAAAACCAAGGTGAAAATATATATAAAAATCAGTAGTGGACAGTGATATCTGAAAAGGTAAGGAAATTTTATATTACCAAAAAAGGACATGAAAGGGAAAATGTAACCAGGTTTATCTGTAGTGTTCATAACCTTTAAATATACTATTCTAAAAAGAAACTGCATTCTCTGAAGCTTGAAAAATTTCAGAATCTAGTTTTCTTATATTGTGTCCTTTTTGTGAGACAGTGCTGGCTCATGTATATTGCAATATCACTTCCTCATTGTGATTTTTAATTACTGAATAATTGAGTTTGCTGCTTTTCTAAGAAATGGCATTCAGTCATGATAACAGTAAGCATTTTGGAGCCAGGAAAAAAAAGAATTTGCAGAATGCATTTTCCTTAATTTCTTTGACATATCAGAAACCTGCCAGTGCAAAGACAGCACTGCTTAAATGAAGATGACATTTGCCAGTTCCAGTGATTCTAGTAAAATGTTATTAAATTAACCAAGATTAGGCTTGAGCTGTTGTTTTTCTCCCTATGGAAAATTTGTCTACTGACTTAAGCAACTTACAGTAAATTAGACTAATTTATTAACATAAATGTTTTGAGCTAGAAATAATTAGGAAGCTAAATCGGACTTTTACCAAAAGGTTACTTAAATCTACATAGACCTTTTTCTTGACAGTTTAAATGTAGTCTTAAAACTTTAATTTGATTTGCAATTTGATTTGTAACTAAACAGTCCTTTCACTATAACAAAACGAAAAGTTTTTTCTTTTTTTAGCTAGTGCCTTTTTTATCTGTACGCCTTAATTTTGTTCATATTTGAACACCATATTGAAATACGTCACACGATTCCATGTCACCAAAACAGTCTCAGAGTATGTTTTTTTTTCAAAGTGCCCAAACCAGAATTCGCCTAACTGCATCGAAAAGGATACTTTAGTTATAATCTGCTGCAGACATTTAAATTGAGAATTTTAAAAAGTGATGTTTGGAGCACTTCCTGAAGGCTTCCTGTGCTGATACAAGTTTTGTGCTTGCATTTTCGAGATTGTACACTGAGGTGCATACCAGAAAAAGGACTTTTTTGCACTCACAGAAACGCTGTTAGGGTCGAGATTTAGCTTCCTAGCTCTGGGTTTACTGTGGAGAGTGCAGCAGAATTCCTAGTGGACTTGAAATCATAATTAGTACATTTGTAAATGTGGTACTGTATTAAAAGCTGTTTACTTTCAACACACAGGAATATGATGTGTCTAAGCAAATTGACAGATTTCTCAGTGAAGCTGGCACTGTGCCCATGAAATTCTTTCCCATGTCGTTCGGATAATCCTAATCCTGCTGTTGTCTTGACTGGAAGCCCTGTAGCACCTGTAGGTACGGCGCAGTACAGCCAAGCCACGCTGTCGGACAACAGAGCGATGTCTAACTGCAGCTTCAGAGACTTGAGCAAGTTGGTCAGATTTTCAGTTATTTATAACCAATTTCTTAGATTTTTTTTTTTTTTTTTTTTAAATCTTGAAAGTCTTTGTCACGCATAGAGAAAAGCATAATGTGTGTGCTTGAATGTAAGTCCCTATGGTGTTTCTGGAAAAGCAAAAGTATTACTGCCAGTACCATTTCTTCTTGCTGCTGGTAACTTGCTGTCTTGTGTTAATGACAAGTCTGCAGTGTAAAATCCCATACAATTACCAAAGCTTTTCTATCCCCATACACATATAGCCAAAAGTGGTGTTTCATAGATTAGTACTGTTACTTATAGATACGTATATATCCATCAGTAAGCTATTGCTAACTTGGTAAAGCAGGTACTAGTAAAAAGCGATAGACACCGCCCGTATTTAAGAGATTTGGGTGTTTAGAGTTGCTGTTTTGATGTGCAAAATTCATGCCAGCATTAAAATGAAGAGTTTGCTTTCTAAAACTCTTTAACTTAATCTTACTGTTGTCATTCTAAAATTAATCCTTAAGCTTGGTGACTAAACCTGGTGAATTTTTACAGCCAGGTTTGGGCCTTGGGACTTTTAAGGAATGCCATGAAGACAAGTAGATCTGTGCCCTGAACTGCTCTGTGCGCCATAGTAAGAACATTTCGAAGCTGCCGGGAAGCGGGAAGCAGTCCGCTTGACGCGACAGCCAAGCGTCACCCGCAGCTGCCTGGGTGTCGGTGCTGCCTTCAGGAGGAGCTGCAAACACCCAGCAAAGGGGGCAGGCAGAATCGCTACCAACCTGGGGTTTCTGAATCAAATCCTCCCTCAGAAACAAAGGAGCTCCTTTCTCTTTTTATTTCCCCCGCTTGGCCCGCATGGTTTATTTTTCTCTCTAGTTAGCACAACTTAAATACTGCATAGGTGGTGGCCAGTCCTGAATAAGGTGCAAGTTAGTGTACAGCTTTATACCAGGGCCCCATTGCTTGAACCCAGGACGCTGCAGCTCCCCGCCTGCTGGAGCAGCCCTCGGGTTTTCTCTGGCAATATATGCACGTACGTATTTGAGGGGTAGATGGGATGGAGGAAACGGAATTTCTCGTGTTTCAAAGCACCGATGTTAGCAGTCACGCTTCGGCTAGGTCTTAGTTTTCATAAACTTACTTTAAAGGGAGAGGAACTGGATTAAAACACATAAAAATTGTATCTCTTACGTTGAGCCCACCGATGAGGATTGGAGGTCAGGGTCTTCTGTCGAGGAGAAGGAAAAGGATACTTGAACTCCAGAGTGGATATTCGTGGGAAATACTGCAAAGGTTTTTCATGTCTTTTACCCCAAAACTTAGACGGTCTTTTTCCCCAGAGGTTATACAATGTGGATTTAAAACCAAGGATTGTGTTTTCTTTTTCTGAACAGGCATTAGATTGTCGGTTCCCTAGTGTTTGTTTCTCGTTGATACCAGTGTGAAAGGTGGTGTCATCCTAGGGTTGGAACGGTTGATTAAAGCATAGTGTCTGTCATCTCGGACCTCCCAGGAGTCGTATGACGGAGGATCGCTGTAAATACGTGGAGGAGACTTAGATGAATCGGAGCGTAGGCTTTTAGTTTTCATGAAGCTATGAATAAAAATTTGTAAATTTACTCTTGATCTAATGTACATTTTTATGTAGCCATTAAATTCTCTATTTAATCTATCAGTTTCTCACTGTAAATGTTTTTACTCTCAGTTGAATGCTGGGCACAGTTTGTAATGTATGTACACAAAGGTGTTTTTTTCTATCAACGTTGACTTTTTTGCACATTTTTGGAAATATTTAATTTGTACACTGATTTAATACTCTGACCAATTGTTGATGGGTGTATGAGAATCACGTGTGTGTGCAATGTACTACTGTCTGGATGTATGGTTTTTTTATTACTTTTGAGATGTTGCTACCAGTAACTGCACTGCTGTTGCTGCTTTACATGGAATATCTTTTGTATAAAAAAAAAAAAAAAAAGATAAAAACGATTAAAAAATTAGCCTATGGATACCTTGGTTGAGGAACTCAGGAGTTGAGCATTGCTTACTGGTTCCGTTTGTCTAAGGACCTTCCAAACTTGCAAACAAACAAGCAAACAAAACCCCCTTGTAATTCTGTGTATGCATTGAATGTGTGTGTGTATATATATCCCAGTAATCTTATTCCACAATTTCATTTCTACATTTTTATGAACTTGTTTTTTAAGGGTACTATGTTTAGTTAGAATAATTAAATATATAAAAGCTTTGAGAGATGATTTACTAGATAAATATATTTTCAGCTGGCTGATGTTCAAAATATTTTTTTAATTTTTGTTTTTAACCATTCAAAATGTATTTGTATTTCCAAAATCAGACACGAATTGTACTTAGAAATATATTAAAACACGCTGTAGGGACACCAGTGTGATTTCTCTTTTAAGAGTTTTGTATTTTAGAGCAATGCGGAATGTCAGTCCTGTACCTGGATTTCCAAGTGGCTTCTGTTTTATTTTGTTTTATAGGTGCTTGGCGGAAGCCTCTATTTTTAACTTTTT